TAGAAAATTTTAGAAATTACTCTTTTACTCCATTTAGTCTACACAATAAAATTAACATGCCTTTAAAGATATCAGACATTTTTCTCTTGGACAATATTTCTCAAGTTAATTCTAATAATTTGAGAGTAGCAAAGATTTTGGACCAAGGCAATAAAAATCATTAACTTCATAAAAATGGCCTTACTGCTTTAAAAAAAAATTATGCTCTCTCAACTATCATATGCTACATATATATGTGTGTTTAGTAGTTGTTTTAGAGGGAAACAAGTTCTTATGAAATGAAGTTTTTGTCAATTTATTTGGCAAGAATTAGACTATAGTATTGTCTAAAACTTATTACTTTGTCCTAAATGCTCTAGGCTTTCTCATTTCTTGTCACTTGTATGTTGTCCTGATATGGCCTGTGATTAGCTAACTTATCTGTATTGCTCTTTAAAGAAGACCAGCCTGGGCAATAATGAGACCCTGTCTCTACAAAAAATAACAAAACTAGCCAGCCATGGTGGCTCATGCCTATAATCCTAGCACTCTGGGAGGCCGAGGCAGGAGGATTGCTTGAGCTCAGGAGTTCCAGACCAGCCTGAGCAAGAGTGAGACCTGTCTCTACTAAAAATAGAAAAATTAGCCAGGCGTCGTGGTACTCACCTGTAGTCCCAGCTACTCTGGAGGCCGAGGCAGGAGGATCACTCAAACCCAGGAGTCTGAGGTTGCAGTGAGCTATCAGGATGCCTGCACTGCACTCTAGCCTGGGCAACAGAGCACGACTCTTGTCTCAAAAGAAAAGAAAAGAAAAGTTATGGAAATAACTTACAGGAATTTTTTGGTTTGTTTTTACAGAGGAAAAAATAATCAGGGTCACAGTATATAGGTGGTTTTTAAAATTCTACTTAAAAAAATCCCAATATTAAGAGACCATTAAACAATATGGATTGAATAAATGAAAAACAAAACCATGGTGTGTAAGATTTCCTAGTTATTAAAGCAGATATACTAATATTTAGAATATCTACTGTAGTTATTTTTTCCTTTCTGTAACAACTAATACTTTGTGGTTTGGGGCAAGGTCTAAATCTCAATAGGAAAAGGAGATAAAAAATTGAGAAGGAAAAAATTTGGTATCTAACTGTCAAAAGTCAAGGAATCTCTAACTCTGAAAAGATAAACAAAAAAATGGTAGAAGAGTTTAGCTCTGGGAAAAGAGCCTGGGAGCCTGGAAGTAGGCAGTGGAAAAGAGATTTAGTTTTTATTTTAGTGTTTTTCTTTTTTCAACACATATATATTAAAGAAAAATATAAAGGAGGCTTTGGCCTTGCAGGAAGCTATCTCCTAGTTGTATCTTCTAAATGTACCCATCATGCAATGTCAACAATTATCGGCTCACAATTGAGCTCATTTCCTCTGTACTCCCACACACTAGCACTACCCCGTTTTGAAGCAAATCAGATATATTTCATCGATATTTTAGTATATATCTTTAAATGATAAAAACTTCCTCTTGTTACCTAACTCCAACACCATCATCACACACATAAAAAAGAAGAATTCCTTAATACCAGTTATCTAGCAGCGTTCACATTTATACTATTATCCTACACATTTTTAATACAGTTTGTTTGAATCAGGATCCAAGCGTTACAGATGGTTAATACGTCTTTTAAGTCTCTTTTTGATGTATCTCTTTTCTTGCAATTTCGTTGTTGAAGAAACCAGGTCCTTTGACCCATAGACTATCACCATCTGATTTTGTCCTTTAATGCGTTCCTCTGTCCTTTGCATTTCCCCTAAATTGGTGTTTAGATCTAGGCTTGATTAGATTTATATTTGATGTTTTTGGCGAGAATTCTTCGTAGTTGGTGATGCGTATTTCCGTGGGAAGGTGCCTGACGTTTCATGACCTCTCCTTTTGTGATGCCATCCACCACTGACGATCATTGCTGTCGTTCCCTATGATGTGTCCACCCTTTGGGTTATCTGAAGCTCTCCTCTAGTAGATTCCTGAGGAAGAGATCATGGAAAGATTATTATTAATGTATTAATAAAAAACACATATATTACTATATCAACATTCCTAAAAATATGAATTTTGGTAACTATATTTTAATGTAATTGGTTTTTTTTGAATTCCTACATATTTTATTTTAGGCATCAGCTTCACAGACTGCCACAGGGGCCCTTGGCACAAAAAAAC